GGCAAGGCCACAGCCCTTTCTCCTCCCCTTACTCCAACCCCCTATAAAACCCCTCTACACACAGAGTTCACTCTCTCTCTGCTTCCTGTCGCTGCGTCGGCAAGGTGGGGGAGCCGAGCTAGCTCGAATAAAGACTCTTATGCTTTTGCATCGGACCTGGCTGGCTCCCTGATGTGGTTTCTTGGGGATCCTGAAATCTGGGCATAACACTGACCCATTTTGGACTTCTGACCATTAGAACTGTGAGCTCACACGTTTGTGTTGCTTTATGCCACTAAGTCTGTAATAATTTGTTATAGCAGCAATAGGAAACTGTTATGCCCAGATTTCAAGATTCCCAAGAAACCACACCAGGGAGCCAGCCATGTCCGATGCAAAAGCATAAGAGTCTGTATTCGAGCTAGCTCGGCTCCCCCACCTTGCCGACGCAGCGACAGGAAGCAGAGAGAGAGAGAACTCTGTGTGGAGAGGGGTTTTATAGGGGGTTGGAGTAAGGGGAGGAGAAAGGGCTGTGGCCTTGCCGATTGGCCAGGCGCAAGTCGGTGTCTTGTTCCTGGGTGTGGCTAGCAGAGGCTTAGACTTCCAGGAAGAAGCTCCTTGCCAAGCACATGGCCAAGGTAAGATGGAGGGCGTAGCACTTACCCTGGGGCAAGATGGAGGGCATAGCCCTTACCCTGGGGCAAGATGGAGGGCCTAGCCCTCGCCCTTTCAGAAACTAGTACACCTAGGAAAAAAATGAACCCGTGCCACAAAAGACTTCTATGAAACATTCACAGCAGCTTTATTCACAACAGCCACACAACACAGATGTCCATCTGTGACAGTGGGTGGATTAACTGGGAAGGGACAGGAGGGAATTTTATGGGAAAGTGAAATGTGCTGCATCTTAATAGGGTATCAATGCCCTCCAGCCCCAAACCAAGAATATTCCTGTAGTTTAACAAGGTTGAGTTTTTTGCTCCTTGCAATGAGGGAGAACACGTACCATGGGGAAGCATGGGTCTCAGTAAGGTGTTAAGAATGACTTGTTTTAGGATTTGGTTTGTGTTAGGTGATTTGGGGGAGGTGTTAAGGAAGCAGGGCTTTGCTCTGGATTGGATGTTATCAGGAAGCAGGTGATTATCTTTAAACATCTTCCTTAGAAGGAGGGAGGAATGGGCGTGGCTAAAGCTACACCTGGTAGAGAAGCAGCACTCGTTAGCTGGGGAAAGGGGATGTTGGATATTTCAGTGGTTTGCACAGTGAACTTGTTTTTGTCTGTGATTTGGTAAGATTATAAAGTGATCTTTATTTTTGTCTACTTTATTCGAGTCACAAAATGACTGTGTTTTGCTGCTGATGTTTGATGACACTGCTTATAACAGGAGAATGACAGGCCTCACTGTGAGCACCGGGCCAACTTCAAACATGCCACGGCCAGCTGTAAGGGTCAGGCAACTCCTGGATGTCAGGGCTGCTTTTCTCTTTCCTTCTCAGGGGTGTGAGTTACATGGCTGTATCAATTCCTCAAAAGGGCGGGGTTAAGATTTGTATATTTCAGTGTCAATTTTATCCCAAATGCCTGTATTAAAAAAATCAACATGAATAAACTGTAGTACAGCCACACAATGGACTACTACACAACAAAAAAATAGGAATAAACTACTGATACATGCAACATCATGGAAGAATCTCAAAACAGTATGCTGAGCAAAAGAAACCAGACACAAGCCCTGCCTGTGTGGCTCAGTTGGTTGGAGCAATGTCACACACACTGAAAGGTTGTGGGTTCGATTCCCGTTCCGAGCACATGCCTAAGTTGCAGGTTTGTTCCTGGTTGGGGTGCATGCGGGGGCAACCAATCGGTTTCTCTCTCACATGAATGTTTCTCTCCCTCCCTCCCTCCCTTTTTAAAATTAACCAATAAATAAAAAAAGAAAAAGAAATCAGCCACAAAAGAGATCATAATGGTTCCCTTTATCTGATATTCTGGAAAAGGCAAGATTATAGAGACCAAGAACAGTGGTTAGCAGGGAGGGTATTGTTGACCACAAAGGGGCAGCATGGGAACTTTTTAGGGTGATGGAAAGGTTCTCTAGCTTCACTGTGGTTACACAACTGTATCTGTTTATCAAAACTCAGAACTGAGAGAGCGGGACGTCCGGCTTGCGAGTGGGGATCTCTGAGTTGTGCGCGACTAAAAATGGGTGATGTTGAGAAGGGCAAGAAGATTTTTGTTCAGAAGTGTGCCCAGTGCCATACTGTGGAAAAGGGAGGCAAGCACAAGACTGGGCCAAATCTCCATGGTCTCTTTGGGCGAAAGACAGGTCAGGCCCCTGGATTCTTACAGGGATGCAACAAGAACAAAGGTATCACCTGGGGAGAGGCTACACTGATGGAGTATTTGGAGAATCCCAAGAAGTACATCCCTGGAACGAAAATGCTCTTTGCTGGCATTGAGAAGAGTGCAGAAAGGGCAGACTTGATAGCTTATCTCAAAAAACTACTCATGAGTAATAGTTGGCCACTGCCTTATTTATTACAAATGTCTCATGACTTTTTTTATGTGTACCATATTTAAAGCGATCTCATACACCAGAATTCAGATCATGAATGGCTAATAGAGCATTTCTTTCGGGCAGTCCTGATTTAAAT